AAAAAAAATCATTGAAAATTATTCAGTGAAAACATTATGTGTATTTCACATAAAGTGATCAATTACAGATTGAAATTTGTTACGATCCTCTTCGAAGTCGCGCTAATATCGGTCGGCGTTCTTTTTGCCACCARTGTATGGCAGCCCAAGGTACATGAACGAGTACTCCCAGAATGCGATGACATACGTGCGGAACTGTGGATCGCGGTCAATCAGCAAACGATCGTCACGATGTCACAGCACGACTTTTCAAACAACAGTTACGATGTTTGATGGACTTTATCGTGAAGAAACGTATGTATATGTGATGCTGTTAGATGCTAGATATGCTCTGTTGAGTGGCAAAAGAGTGGTTTGTCGCACGTACACATTCCTCTTTGGATCAGTTATTAAATTGCCTGCCAAAGAAAATACACATTCGGACGCYAAGTCCATGTTTGAAATATTTGGAAAAAAAGAAGTTCATTTCATTTGCAGATGTAAACGTATTTGCTGTTGAAGTAATTGGTGAAGATGGAATTTGTGGGGTCTCATTGTRTTCGGACGTGTAGAACTTCATATTGCCTGATAGCTCCGCATACAGAAATGCTTCACAGCTTCAATATCGTTGTCTCTCATAGCTTTTGCTGGAGGATATGAAAATAGTGCTACTTTATGGTAAATGCTTAAATTTGCAAGACATATACCGTCGATATATAATATGTTGATATACTATATTACGTTTAAAGCTGACTATTGCTGGAACGTCTACATGAACTGCTTCGCATACCGTTTTTAAACGAGAAATTGAAGAAAATACAAAACATRTTGACACAAAATTACTCTCCTGTAATTTGTTAGAAATTGTGTCGAAGTATTGTCGCAATTCTACCAAAGAGTAGACAATATTTATATTAGTCTGTAACAAACGAATTTGTTGATTATTTTCTGTTAAAATACCATCGACTGTTGGCCAATTGTCCGAAATGGAATTAAGCATTATCAAGTAAGAGTTTCTTCGTGTGGGACAGTGACTTTTCAATGATGTTTGCAATGCATGTTGGAGATTCGATTTTTTTTTTAATATTTTACAAGGCTTTTGCAAGAAATAATTAAAGATTTAAAATCATTTGTAGTCTCAAATGCAGTGTTTATAACGTGAGAGAATATATGATTAAAAAAATTKATCCTCGTGTAGTTTTGTAATGTGCTTTTGATATTACTTCCTCTATCAGTCACAAATATAACTGATTCAAGGTTGCAAATATCAAATTGAGAAAATATGCAGAGTAATTTGTTCTGAATATTTATACCTGCTGATTTCTCGAAATCCATAGACTTGATACCCAAAAATTACGTTTTTTTCAATTGGAACCGTCGAAAAAATTAAGCGTTGCACATAAAAATTTCTAGTTAGTCCAGAGATCCGTGGWTATAGATGCATTTTTATTATCAGCAACTTTTTTTAAACACGATTTAACTTCGTTTTTCTTCTCCTCAGCCATTTTAGAGGTCCTCCGCGAGATAGTAGTTGCATTTGGAATTAGGTCATGTATATTAGCATTTTCACCGTATTTCGTTCCAATTTTAATAAAACAATCTGCTAATTTTTAAAACGAACATCCTTCAGCGGCAATAAAAGAGCGGCAATCTTCTATTATCCATTGTGAATATACATTGATAGCGCATTCCTTGTCTTCTTGGCTTACATTTCTTATAACCACTTTTTGTTCAGAAGTGTTAGCGAAGCATWTGTGACGCATCAAATTACTGGTTTGCTTGCCAKTAAACTTCAACAAATGCTTGCATTTTCAACAGTAAACAAACMTTTCCAATGTACTTCCATCGCTTTRTTTTATTTCAGMAACCATGCTMMAAACTGCACTTTTAYCTCGTTTCTGCGTCAATTGATAATTATCAATGCTSCCTAYTATTCTATTTTGATCAGYCATGACTCCGCACTACTTTAGACGTGTGCTATCAGCCACTCAGCTCCACTTTATAGCARAAACAAGTATTAACAAATCTTCGTATAGCTTATTTTAATTATAGAACTAAGGAACGTTATTTTATTGTTTTTACTAAATCACAAGATGATATTTACCAAAATTCACCAAACAATTTATTCACTAAGACTCACTTTTCCGATTTTCTCACTCTTAAATCTATGTACCGTTCAAAGCTTTAAACCAAATTGAACTCGCCTTTGAAAATCTTTTCCTCCTTATCGCTTTTCAATTAGGTCAAGAAGTACTCGGACTGTCGTAAGCACACATCTCATGTCCTTGCCTGACACAAAACGAGCCAACATTTCTTGTAGGTATATTATCTCTTAGTAATTTTACGATGTCTCAATGTAATTCCTTTTACTATTTTAAAGGAAAACTGAATAAAAGGATAAGAAACAAAGAAGTTTCAGTTTTGTAGTTTTAACGAAGTCACTAGAATCACGAGTTTCGTTCCTTTTAAAACTCCTCCGCGTATGTAGAAATTGTACACGGAATTTGTGAATGTATTCATAAATAAACAATGAGCCACTTATTAGTAAACGTATTCATAAGCCTTTCAAYTGATCTAATGATATGCAACGAATAGCTCAAACAATTGTATACAGAGAAGCAAGCCAAGCCATGTGTGAGCGATAAGTGATTGTGAGACTTATTCACACTCATTATTACACAAACAAGCCATGTAGTTGTGAGAACGTAATATTTTTAGTGAGAGCAAGTATAAATCATGAATTTAAGAGTATGATCATAAACTAAGTATTCACAGCATATCACTGGTGGAAGGCTCCGAAAGGCTAGGATGGTACTTTGCTCCTCGAAAATGAATTGATAACACTTATTTAACAAATTATTTATTTAATGGAAAAGTTAATACTGAAATTGAAAGATATATTAATATTAAGTTAAAGTTATGTCGAACTCGTGCGCGTGGATATCTACTCGTGTCGCTGTGTTGCCGTTAACTCTCTTGACAGTCGAGGAGAGGGTTGCCACCCTTACACTGGTATGTATATATGTTATACATACATATATATAAGTGATCAGGATGACGAGAAAAGTTGAAATCCGGGTGGCTGACTGTCTCTCCGTCCGTCCTTGCAAGCTGTAAAATTGAGATATCTCGATGAAACTTATCATACGGGTTTCTAAGTTCAAAAAAATTACGAGTTCACGCCCACAAATCGTTATTAAGCGAAAACCTATAAAGTACTATAACTTAGCATTTAATTAAGATATGAAACTGTCACTTTTACAGGGGTTGGGGTAGCAATTGCCACCTGTGGTCAAAGTGTTTTAAAAAAAGTGGGCCCCGCCCTCTAATAAGTTTAATATATACGAGTATATCTCTCA